CAGTTCATCAACTGTGTTTTTTTTCCTTAGCAACGACACTTGCATAGACAGACTTATGTCACTTCTCTTTCACAGGAATACCGACACACAACAGTAATAGTATTTAATGGAATGTGGGCAGCCATAGGTTAAGATCATCCACATACTCTGTTCTCGGAGTATTGGCTGGGTGTTACTTAGGAGTCTTAAAAGAACATAGCAAATAATTATAATGTATTATAAATGTATTATAAAGTGTTTTTAAGGTCTTAGAAGAATACTGAGAGTTAAAGCTCCAGTGTGCAAACAAAATTCTATAATACATGTGTTGAATGTTCACAACGTATTCCATAAATAAGTAAAATTGAAAAAAACCCCAAAACATAATTGTATATTCAGGTATGATGTTAATTGTTTAAAATATATACATAGTCATTGGAAATATGTATTAAAGATTAATAGCGATAACCACTGTCTAGTGACATCTAATGTCTATATATAGGAGTTCCAGAAAGAACAGAGAAAACGAGTGAAAGATCAATGAATAATTAAAACATATTTCCCTGAATTGAGGAAATGAGTTGTCAGACAGAAAGGATCCAGTGAATGCTCAACCAAACGGATGAAAACATATGCATCAAAGCATGTCGTTGTAAACCCTTCTAATCGCTAGAGTGAAACACTCGGCTCTGAACAGGCACAGCCAGCTAAATATGGATAACTGATGCAGCCAAAAATTGCAATAATAAGCATCTGGGAAAGAGACAGTGGAAAGGATGGAAAAGTTTGAAAACTGATTTGTTATCTACTCCAGGAAGTTAGTGATATTGAGAAGGAAATAATTACACAAATTACTTAGAACAATGAATACATGTAAATACTAAAACAGTTAAAAATTGAAAGTATACAATAAGACACAACAGTATCTTTCTTAAGTTTTAGAATTTTTTTTTTTTGCTGTATTTCTTTAAAGATTTGTATTATTTTTATTGCAAAGTCAGATATACAGGGAGGAGGAGAGACAGAGAGGAAGATCTTCCACCTGATAATTCACTCCCCAAGTGACCACAACAGCCGGTGCTGCTTTGGTCTGGAGCTAGGTGCAGGGTCCAAAGGTTTTGGGTAGTCCTCCACTGCTTTCCCAGGCCTCAGGCGGGGAGCTGGATAGGACGCGGGGCTGTTGGGATTAGAACTGGTGCCCACATGGGATCCCAGCGCGTTCAAGGTGAGGACTTCAGCTGCTAGGCCTCCATGCTGGGCACAAGTTTTAGAAATTTTTTAAAAAGATTTATTTTATTTTTATTGGAAAGTCAGATGTATAGAGAGGAGGAGAGGCAGAGAGGAAGATCTTCTTTTCACTGGTTCACTCTCCAGGTAGCCAGCAATGGCCAGAACTGAGCTGATCTGAAGCCAGGAGCAAGGAACCTCTTCCAGGTCTCCCACGTGGGTGCAGTATCCCAATACTTTGGGTTGTCCTCAATTGCTTTCCCAGGCCACAGGCAGGAAACTGGATGGGAAGTGGGGCAGCCAGGATTAGAACTGGTGCCCATATGAGATCCTGGTGCGTGCAAGGCAAGGACTTTAGCTACTAATCTACTGCACCAGGCCCCAGTTTTAGAGTTTTTTAAATTACTATTTTGTAATTATTGGAAGGGCAGAGTTACAAAGAGGAGAGATAGAGAAAGATTTTCCATCCACTGTTTCACTCTCCAAGTGGCCTCAACATCTGGAGCGAAGCTGATCCAAGGCTTAGGAGGTCTTCCAGGTCTTCCAGGTCTCCCATGCAGGTGCAGGGTCCCAAGGCTTTGGGACATCCTCTAGTGACTTCCCAGGCCACAAGCAGGGAGCTGGAAAGAAGTGGAGCAGCTGCAATATGAAGTGGCACTCATATGGGATCCTGGTGCTTGAAGGGCAAGGGCTTTAGCCACCAGGCTACTGCACAGGGCCCTGCATACAAAATTTTTAGCATAGATGTTGACAGAATAAATGATAGTACTATGGTATGTTTGAAACTTAATCCCAAAATTAATATGTTAGGGTAGTGAGAATTACAAGAGGCTGAGAGGAAGGGCTTCCTGTGATAGCAATTAGTGAGTCTGTAAGAAGTCAGGTTGGCTGGAGTGCGGTAGCCTGACAACTCAGCCACACAATGCCATCCCCATGTTATGATAGAGAGATGACGCCATCGCCAAATGCTTGCACCAGGCCCTTGACTTCTTGATCTTCAAAGGTGTAAGCAACATAAACTTTCATTTTTTTTATAACTTATATTTTAAAAATTACCAGATCTTAGATATTTCTATAGCAACAAAAAATGGATTAATACATGTAACTGTATTTGTAAATTAATTGGAAACTCCTAAATTTCTTTTTATCAACCCTAGGTTGTTAATGTAAGTATTGTTTAGATGTTTATTAATGAAAAAAGGAGGCATGATGTATATGCCCATTATGCACTATTTTGTGTTATTATTTTAATACTCATGAAAACAGTAATTATTATTTACAAGGCTGAGAGAGGTGAAGTAACTTCCTTTAGGCTTTCAAGTACATAATTCCTGAGCAACTACTTTGTACAAAGTCCTGTTCAAAATACTGGGGAAACCCATAATGACAAGGTGCCTGATGAAATTTACATTGGATCTGGGGGAGAGAGAGGGGGGCCAATACACAATGTAATCAAAGACTATAATACTACAACATAAATAAGCAGGATCCCGAGACAGAGACCTGTCAGAGAAACATGCTTTAGCTAAGAGTGGTCAGGGGCTGGGCATTCGGCACAACAGCTAGGTCATTGCGTGGATGTCTGCCTCTCCCATCTGGAGTGACTGGGTTCAGGTACTGCCTCCACTTCTGGTCCAGCCTGCAGCTGATGTGCACCCTGAGGGCAACAGGCCATGGTCAAGTGCTTGAGTCCCTGCAGCCAATACATGAAGACAGGAACTGAGTGCTAGGCGCCTGCCTTTCGCTTGGTGTGGCTGTTGTTGGGGAGCAAATTAGCAGATAAAGGATCTCAGCATTTCTCATTAAAAAAAAACTGTGGTCAGGAAAGACCTTTTTTTTTTTTAAGATTTACTTAACTTTTATTGCAAAGTCAAATATACAGAGGAAGAGATAGAGAGGATTATCTTCTGCCTGATGATCCACTCCCCAAGTGACTACAATGGCTGGAGCTGAGCCAATCCGAAACCAGGAGCCTGGAGCCTCTTCCGGATCTTCCACACGGGTGCAGGATCCCAAGGCTTTGGGCTGTCCTCGACTGCTTTCCCAGGCCACAAGCAGGGAGCTGGATGGGAAGTGGAGCTGCTGGGATTAGAACCGGCGCCCATATGGGATCCCAGTGCATGCAAAGAAAGGTCTTTAGCTGCCAGACCACCGCGCGGGGCCCAGGAAAGACCTTTTAACCCAAAGTTGGGCCGAGATCTGGAGGATGAAAATGGGCAACCCAGGCAAAGGACGAGGAAAGAGCGTTTGAGACAGAAGGGGCTCAGGAACAGAGGCCTTGAGGATGGGGTTTGGGCACTTAGATGCTCTGAAGCATGGCAGTGTCCGGCGGCCAGATCTGGCTGACCTAACGGGGAAAAGGAAGAGGAACGAGCTTGGGTTTCCCTCCAATAGGAGAGGTGACTGTAAGGGAATCGTGTTTCAAAAGGTACTTCTCTTGCAGAGTGAATGTGGTGGGAGGGAGGAGAAAAGAGGGAGAGTCGTGGCTGATACAAACGACAGGACCGCACAAAGACGAGGAGGAACCAAAGGTCCCAGTTGGTACTCGTGTCCAGATGAGAAAGATTAGGGTGGAAGGAGGGCACAGAGGCCCGTTTTGGTTAGGTCCTTGTGGAGATACGGGTGAGCCACATCCACTGAGAGAAGGTAGCAGCAACTGGGACGGGCGCGGTAGCTTAGCAACTAAAGTCCTTGCCTTGAACGCGCCAGGATCCTATATGGTCACCAGTTCTAATCCCGGCGGTCCTACTTTCCATCCAGCTCCCTGCTTGTGGCCTGGGAAAGCAGTCGAGGACAGCCCAAAGCCTTGTGACCCTGCACCCGTGCGTGAGGCCCTTAGGAGCCTCCTGGCTCCTGGCTTCGGCTCGGTTCAGCTCCGGCTGTTGCGGAAGGTCTTTCTCTCTGTCTCTTTTCCTCTCTATATATGCAGCTTGCCAATAGAAATAAATCAATCTTTAAAAATAAAGATAGCAACTGACTATGGCAGAACGACGCCTGAGCTGTGGATGCAGGTGTCATCTCGAAGGGCGGGTCGGAAGTCAGTGAGTGACCACGAAGGGAACAGGAGAGCACCTAGCCGTCACCCAGCGACGTCCGCAGCCCTGTAGGGCCAGTGAGGGGCACAGCAGCAGCTCCCGGGAACGGCTCTCGCACAGGACTCCCTTCCAGTACCTTCTCAGCCGGGAACCTCACGCGGCCGAACGACCGTCCTCCAGGCAGCCGCGTTCAGGGCGCAGCTCGCCTACGGAACGCCAGAGGCCCGGAGAGCGTGTGGCATGCTGGGAGTTGTAGGCGACGGCGCACGCACCGGCGAGCGTGTGTAAGCGGGCGACGCGGGCCCCGGTGAGCGCGGCATGCTGGGAGTTGTAGGCCGGCGTAGCACCCCGAGTCACCCTGAGACTGTCAGTCACTACAAATCCGACCCGGCTTTCCCGGCTTGGAATCGTGTCGCCTTGATGGCTTCTCGTCAGCTCAGTGCCGTTTCCTTAGCCATGCGGTACACTTCCTAAGTATAACTGCACGGCTCTCCCGGATCCGAGAGCCCGGCTTTTCATCTCGCTCGGGCCACGCCCCTGAGGGAGGGGCTTCCGTGGCGACGCGGCTTCCCATGGTGCCTGGCGCGCACGCGCTGCTATTGGCTCGGCCACCCGGCTCCTATTTTCAAATTGAGGCGCCGAGTCGTTGGTCGGGGTCGGGGCGGAGAGGAGGACCGGACGTCCCGGCTCTCGGGCTGTTCGCGCCCCGCGCCGCGGCCACCGTCCTGGGGGAGATCCCCGAGCGAGCTGGGCAGCCAGGTCCGAGTCCGTGTCCGCGCCCCTCGGCCCTCCCGGCCGCCCCCAGCCCGCAGCCAGCCTCGGCCTTTTCTGTTTTGGGGCGAGGACGATCATGGCGTCGCAGTCCAATTCGTCCGCGAAGAAGAAAGACGAGAAGGGGAAGAACATCCAGGTGGTGGTGAGATGCAGGTGAGGAGCTGGGGGATGGCGTCGCTCGGGTTTTGTTTTGGAGCCTCTTTGTTGATCGCCCCGCGTTTCGTGAAGCTGCTGTGTGAGAATGCAAAGCTGGCAGGGAGAGGGTTGTGATGAAGGCTTGTCAGGGGAAGCTCTCCGGTAGGAGGAACAGGAGGAAATGTGCTGTTGGACCTGTCACTTTCAGACGCTCGCCTTTGCAGTTTGTCCCTTAGGAAATCGAGCGGCCACCTTCCCTTGCAGGTATTGGCTTACTTGCCTTATCTTTCCCATCCTCTTCACGTCTTAAAAACCCGCGATCGCTTGTCGCCTCCGTCTGTCGAGGGGCAGCGCCCTCCTCTCGGATAGACAGCTGCACATCCCTGTGGTTCTGGCCTGAAAAATGAAGTAATAAAATGAGTTGGTTTTCAGAACAGCGAGGCGACTTGAGGTTGTGGTGATCGTGCTGCTCGTTTCTGTGCTAATCAGAAGAGATAGATTTTAGGATGTTTCTTTCTCCTCTAACTGGTGCCAAGCAACACCTCCATTTTAAAATGGGCCGGTAGAGCAAGAGCTTACTTGTAAAAACTGCTGCTTAAAGAGATTGAGTTATCCAACTTTTTAGGTGCTTTCCATTGTGTGTCTGTAATTAAAAAAAAAAAAAAAAAACTCTTGTCAACAAATTTCTTAGATTGTTGGCGTGATTTGAGTTGTGGATGCTTTTTTAACTAGATGTCAGAGAGGAACTTTGTTGCTGACCTGAAATACAGGTTAGGATGCATAGCAGTTGCACACTGGGGATTTAACAAAATAGGAACCTGCTTAATTTGAATATTGGGAGGGGGGGCGAGAAAAGCACCTACAGTGAATGCAAATTTTAATTTATTTTGGTTGCTTAATGAAGCCAGGCAATGTTTACCTTTTCTGTGTGGTTTTATTTCTTTTTCAAGTGTTAGCTACAAAATCCTTCAGACTTACTAGGTTATGAAGAACAATGTAACAAATGTTTGTGTAGCTGGCCCCCGGAGGAAGAAGCTAGACTGTCCCTGTAGCTGGAGCCTCCGTGTTCCCTGCCCCATCTCCCCCTCCCTCCCTTCATCTGCTTCTGGGCGTTATCTTGAACTTGATGCTTGATTAGCTTCACTCATTTCAAGTCTTGCCTTAGAAGAGAGTTCTTTGATCAATAATAACACGTGTTCAAGTTCTGTCTAATATTTACTATAATTTCAGTATACACATTTTGCTTTTCAGGTCTGCCCTTGGCAGTAGACTTCTGCACTAAACTTTGAGTCAGAGGCTCTGAGTTAGGAAGCCCTGGCAGATTGGCCAGTCTTGTCTTGTAAAGGTCCCGGAGAAGCACACGTGTGGTGTAACTAAAATTCTACACTTTGCAGACTGCATATGGTCTCTGTCGTGTTGTCCTATCTCTTTTTCTTTAATAACTTTGCAGCTGTTTAGGTTGCTCTTGGGTCTTTGGCAAGACCAGGGCCTGGTTTGCTCTGGCTGTGCTGCTGGCTACCTTTCCGATCCCCCTTGGAACTACCCACCCTAATTTTTTTTGTCTGATCTTTATATTTTTTTAAAGATTTATTTATTCATTTTTATTGCAAAGTCAGATATACAGAGAGGAAGAGAAACAGAGAGGAAGATTTGTCCAATGATTCACTCCCCAAGTGAGCGCAATGGCCCAGGGCATTGGGTCTTTGGGTCCCCATAACCCTTTGCTAATCACAGCACTATATAGATGCAAATGGGCTGCTGTCTGGCCCTGGGCACTAGTGTGACTTGCGCCTTGCACTTTCTCCTCTTTCCCAGCTTCCCCGCCCCCGGCAGTTGTCATCCCCCCCCCATCCCTTTAAACAAATGGAGTCCTAGTACAGTTTATCTTTTTGTGACTTATGTTAAGTAACATAATGTTATCCAGGTTCATGCTGTGGCTGTCTGGGTTTTTTTTTTTTTTTCTTTTTAAGAAATGTGTAACATGTTTTGTTCATTCATCTGTCAATAGACACAGTTTTTAGGTTATTACTAAAAATGCTACCTTCGTGTGTGCCACATATAGTAAAATCGGAACGATACAGAGAGAATTAGCTTGGCTCTTGTATAAGGATGACATGCAAATGCGTGAAATGTTCCATATATTTATTATATAAGTAGAAATTTATATAAAAATATATTATGTATAAATAGAAATTTATGTTAAAAGTATATATATAAAATGTTACTTTCCTGGACACAGTGGGTTAATCTGCCACCTGGGACTATAGCATCGCTTCTTATCCCTTTTAATTGCTTTATTTACACCTAATATTTTTATTTCTTTTTTACTAGTTGTCCTCCTCACACTCTCACTGGGTTAGAAATCGCCCTGAGAACAGGAAATCAGTGTTTGCCAATTTTTTTTTTTTTTGTACTTTGTTCATGCTGCATCCCCAGAGTCTAGTACTTGGTGACTTTTGTGGGATGAAGAATTAGCACTTTCCTCTAGGAGAGAACTTGTTTCCCTTCCTCTTCAGTCTCCCTCATCGTTTAACTGCCCTGAGCTTTTATGTACTGGTGGTGTGCAAATAGATGGGTTTGTTGTGATCAGTAGAAACCTTGCAATTTTGCTTTCTTTCTCCTTCCTTCTCTCTCTCTCTCTTTCTTTTCTTTCTTTTCTTTCTTTCTTTTTTTTTTTTTTTAGGATTTATTTATTTTTATTGGAAAGGCAGAGTTATGGAGAGGGAAGGGTCTGCTGGTTCACTCCCCTCATGACTGCAGCTGCCAGACTGGGCCAGTGCAGACCCAGCAGCCAAGAGCCTCTTTGGTGCCTGTGGGTGCAGGGCCCACATGCTTACATCCTCTGTTGTCCTCCCAGGCCATTAGCAAGGATCTGGATCAGAGTGAAGCAGTCAGAACGCCAACCCAGCACCCATGTGAGATGTTTGCAAAACAGTCAGAGGCCTCACCCTTGGTGCCATGGCATCAGCCCCAAACCGTGTAAATTCTAATTGGAGAAGTCTGAGTAAGAAAACAATGGTGTGGTAGAGGGGACCTTGACCCTTTTGCTTGGGCAGTATAGACCTACTCCTGTTGTCACGTTTGAAAAACGGGGCTGCTCGTGTTACCAGCTTCACAGTATTATAGGGACCAAGTGAATTAGTTCACTTAAAGTACCCAGAACCATGAGTACCTGGCATACAGCAGGGTCCTGACTTGTTAGTTATTTCTGACTTTGTGTTACATATTGACTGCTAGATTAGTATGTTAAAAATAGCAGAAATACAACTCCATATCTATGTTTGGCGTTTTGTGCAAGTTAAGTTCTGTTAGCATCTTTTCTAAGAAACCAACAGAAGTATGCTTTATGTATCTTCAGAATAAGCCAATTTTATTTTTAGAATTGAGGTCCTTAGAATTCTAGTATTTACTTTCGCAACATTGTTTAGCACCCACCATTGACGGTATAGTCACAACTTCACATTTAACATTTCTCATTTTGTTAGTTTTTAAAAATATTTGTTTGTTTAAATAAGAGAGAAATGGAAAGAGCTCCCACTTGCTGGTTTATACCCCAGATGCCCGTAACTCCTGAGACTGGTCCATCCAGATAGCCCACGCGGATGGCAGGCAGGAAGGCTACTATCACCTGCCGCCTTCCAGGGTCTATACTGGCAGGAGCTGGATAGAAATGGAACCCAGGACCCTGGACAGGAGATGGAGGCTGCAAGACCAAATGCCTTTTCTAATTAATGTGGGCAGTGAAAATGTCCTTGATAACCTGATAATTGAAAATTCTTCAATACTTTTGTGTATTTTTTTTATAGACCATTTAATATGGCAGAAAAGAAAGTTAACGCCCATTCAGTGGTTGAGTGTGATCATGTACGAAAAGAAGTGAGCGTGCGGACTGGAGGACTGGTCGACAAGAGCTCAAGGAAAACGTACACTTTCGACATGGTATTACCTTCCTACTTCTCAAGTATCCGCTAATGTAATCCTAATATAATTGTTTTGCTAGAAAAATGATACACTTAACACGTTTTAATTCTTTCTTTAAGTATTCCAGTGGGTGGAGACAGTATATTTTGAAAATTATTAGAATGAATAATTTTGAATTTTTAATAATCTTTATAGGTTTTTGGAGCATCTACTAAACAAATTGATGTTTACCGAAGTGTTGTCTGTCCAATTCTGGATGAAGTGATTATGGGTTATAATTGCACCATCTTTGCGTAAGTGGACACTAACTCTCTAGTTGTTGAAAACATTGAGACTGTTGTATTTGCTTTAAATTAAACGCTTCTGTTATTCTTGACAGATATGGGCAAACTGGCACTGGCAAAACCTTCACAATGGAAGGTGAAAGGTCGCCTAATGAAGTGTACACCTGGGAGGAGGTATTTATTCTTTTTTTTTTTTTTTAAAGATTTATTTTTATTATTTTTTTATTGGAAAGGCAGATATACAGAGAGGAGAGACAGAGAGGAAGATCTTCCGTCCGATGATTCACTCCCCAATTGAGCGCAACGGGTCGATACTATGCCAATCCGAAGCCAGGAGCCTCTTCCGGGTCTCCCACACGGGTGCAGGGTCCCAAAGCTTTGGGCTGTCCTCCACTGCTTTCCCGGGTCACAGGCAGGGAGCTGGAAGGGAAGTGGGGCTGCCGGGATTAGAACCGGCGCCCATATGGGTTCCCGGGCGTGCTAGGTGAGGACCTTAACCACTTGCGCCACCGCGCCGGGCCCCGGTATTTATTCTTTAGAACATGTTTTGTCACTACTATGGCTGAAGGGGTTTTTTGTTTTAAGGATTGAGTTGTTTATTTGAAAGACAGGCTTGCAGCTAGAGGGGTAGAGGCAGAGAGAGAGAGACAGACTGACTGAGTTCCTCTCACTGGTTCAATCCCCAAAATGGCTGCAACAGCCAGGACTGAATCAGAATAAAGCCGGAAGCCAGGAGCTTCTTCCAGATATCTTACCTGGATGCAGGGGCCCAAGTACTTGGGTCATCCTCTGCTTTCCTGGGCTCATTAACAGGGAGCTGGGTCGGAAGTGGTGTAGCCATGACTTGAACTTGAGTCTGTATGGAATGCAGACAATGCAGCCTGCAATTTAACTCGCTGCACCACAACACTGGCCCCACTACAGCTGACATTTAGTTGCATAAAACCTGTTTGAGCATTTGTCTTTAAAAAGAGGTCAGAGGGCCTGTCAGCCGTGGCCTAGCGGCTAAAGTCCTCACCTTGAAAGCGCCGGGATCCCATATGGGCGCTGGTTCTAATCCCAGCAGTTCCACTTCCCATCCAGCTCCCTGCTTGTGGTCTGGGAAAGCAGTCGAGGATGGCCCAAAGCCTTGGGAGACCCTGTGCCTGTGTGAGAGACCTGGAGGAGGTTCCTGGCTCTTGGCTTCGGATCAGCATATCACCAGCTATTGCGCTCGCTTGGGGAGTGAATCATTGGATGGAAGATCTTCCTCTCTGTCTCCTCCTCTCTGTATATCTGACTTTCCAATAAAAATAAATATATCTTAAAAAAAAAAAGCACAAAGTCTGCTTGGTGAGGACCAACATATATGACACAGGTAGTCGGAGCAGGGTATAGTAGTGCCTCCTTATTTGTGGGACATCCTTTTCTTTTTAAGATTTATTATTTTTTAAAAAAATTTTCATTGGAAAGTCACATTTACAGAGAGAAGGAGAGACAGAGAAAGATTTTCCATGTACTGGTTCACTCCCCAAGTGGTTGCAATGGTTGGGGCTGAGCCGATCTGAAACAGGAACCAGGAGCTTCTTCCAGGTCTCCCACGTGGGTGCAGGATCTCAAGGCTTTGGGCTGTCCTCGACTGCTTTCCCAGACCACAAGCAGGGAGCTGGATGGGAAGTGCAGCAGCCAGGACACCAGCCAGTACCCATATGGGATAGGTGAGGATTTAGCCACTAGGCTATCCTGGGCACTTTGTAGTATTTAAATATAAGCTATGTACATACATCTCTATAGTTTAAAGCATATTAAGATTATGTATTATACCCAATGCAATGTAAACACCATAAAAATATTGATAGCACTGTATCATTTGGGAGATAATGACAAGAAAAAATTCTACGTGTTCAATATATATGTTTTTCCATGTATTTCCCTTTTATAAAAAGTTCATTTATTTGAAAAGTAGAGTTCAGTGAAGCAGAGACAGAGAAAGAAGGCCCTCCATCCACAGGTAAACTCTCCAAAAGACCTCAGCAGCTACAGCCAGACAAGGCTGCGGCTGGGAGCTTGCAACTCCATCTAGACCCCACATGGTTGGCATCATGTTCTGCTGCCTTCCCAGATACCAGCAGGGGATTGGGTTGCAGTGGGGCGGCTCAGACGTGAATCCATGCTCATATGTGAATCCATGCTCATACGAATGCTGCGCCTTAACTCACATGCAACAACATCATGTGTTTTTCAGATCATGGTTGGCCGAATGGGAGTTTGTGTACTCCATGAACACAGAAGCTAACTGTGCTTATGTTTAAATGTACATTGAAGCTCTTATTATTTGAATAAATATTGTACTCTTTCATTTTCATTAATATTACCATTTCAGGATCCCTTGGCTGGTATAATTCCACGAACTCTTCATCAGATTTTTGAGAAACTTACCGATAATGGTACTGAATTTTCAGTCAAGGTATCTCTATTGGAGATATATAATGAAGAACTTTTTGATCTGCTTAATCCATCTTCTGATGTTTCTGAGAGACTACAGATGTTTGATGATCCTCGCAACAAGGTGACTGAGTCTTTGAGAATAAAATGTCTGAATTTTCATGTAGGAGGCTTTGAAAAGTCATATGCAATTTGTAACATACCTAATGATTTTTTTTTAATATTTAATCAGAGAGGAGTGATAATCAAAGGTTTGGAAGAGATTACAGTCCATAACAAGGATGAAGTCTATCAAATTTTAGAGAAGGGGGCAGCAAAAAGGAAAACTGCCGCTACACTGATGAATGCATACTCTAGGTAAGAAAGCCATCCTCTCACTTCTTTTTTAATTATTTTATTTTGATAATCTTTACATAGTTGATTAGAGCACAAAGGGTCAAGGGCTACAGGAAAGTGGGTAAGACCATTGTTTTCACATTATTATTTTTTTTCTAGATCTGGGGTAAGGGGAGAGATAAAGGGAGAAGCCCCTCCCAGCCTCCGCCATCCTCTCTCTTTACCTTCATGTTCTTATTAGGCGTTACCAGGGTAGGCCAGTGGCACAGCAGTGAAGTCACTGCTCCGGGTACCTGCATCCCGTGTCCCTGGTTGGAGTCTCACATACTCTGCTTCCCAACCAGCTTTCTGTTAATTCATGCCCTGGTGTGTCAGAGGATGGCTAAGTTCCTGGGTTCCCACCTCACAAATGAGAGACCAGGATTGAGTTTCTGACTCCTGGCTTCAGCCGACTATTTCAGGGATATGGAGTATGAGCTAGCAGATGGAAGATCTCTGTTTTTCCAAAACAAAGAAAAAGAATATAAATAAACCAAAAAATTTTGTAAAAAGAATTAGCAACTGAGGAGAAGTCACTGAAGTAGTTAAAGCAATCTGTTACACAGCTGGTTTTGTGCTGTGGCAGTTGGCTTGAGGTTTATATGTTGGGCACCAGTACTAAAAGAAGAAAAGAGAACAAGGCAAGTTGGTTAAAGTAGAAGTATATTAAATCTTTTTTAAAGACTTATTTATTTTTATTGGAAAGTCAGATATACAGAGAGGAGGAGAGACAGAGAGGAAGATCTTCTGTCCAATGATTCACTTCCCAGGTGGCCACAACGGCTGGAGCTGAGCCAATCCAAAGCCAGGAGCTGGGATCTGGCTCTTCCAGGTCTCCCACACGGGCACAGGGTCCCAAGGCTTTGGGCCATCCTCAACTGCTTTCCCAGACCACAAGCAGGGAGCTGGATGGGAAGCAGGGCTGCCAGAACTAGAACTGGTGACTATATGGGATCCTGGCATGCTCAGGATGAGGATTTTAACCACTATGCTATTGCACTGGGCCCTAAATTTTTTTTTTAAATAAAAATTTGTTTATTTATATGAAAGGCAAAGAGGAAGAGACAAATTTTTCATCTGCAGTTTTACTTCCTGGATGACTTCAAAGGCTGGTGCTGGGCCAATCTGAAGCCAGGTACCTGGAGCTCTTTCCCAGGTGCCGTGTGGATGGCAGGACCCAAGTATTTAGACCATCTTCCTCTGCTTTCCCAGTGACTGGTGGAAGTGGAACAGATGGGACCTGAACTGGTGCTTGCTACTATGGAGTGTCAGCTTCTTAGGCAGATGCTCAGCCCTCTAGGCTGCAATTCTAGTACTCAATTTTAAATAATTTGAATGTTTTTTGTTACCGTGATACTTCTTATTAAGTTGTTTTCAATAGCATGAAAGAACTATGAAGAAAATTTAAATTACTGTATTGTTCATTGTGTGTAATGTTAACAAACATGATGATTGCCTGCAAACGCCATTGATGCTGGAAAAAAGGCTATCTTTGGTCAGCTATATAATTTTTGTTTCTCTTAAACAGAAGTTAAATGTCAGTATTTACCATAAGGTAGACTTTTGAACACTGCGTAGTCTGTGGGTGATTATCTTACAGCATTTCATTTAATATTTCTGCTGTTTGAGGGAAGGAGCTACGTATTACACGTGACATTGTTAGAGTAAAGAAATAGACCTTTATGTGGTCACAGCAGTACATGGAGGGGGAGTAGTTTGATAGCCTGCCAGGTGTTGTTGAAATGTGTCATTTGTCCCAAATTCCTGAGATCCTTATTTGTAGGAAGATTGATTGAAAGCCTTCTCTTCTGATACAGAGGCAACTGTCTTTACCTCAGATCACATCCGGTTTGGGGAAGTGCCTGGGAATGCTTTCAGGGTATTGCAACTGGCCCCTGGACAAGGACTCCCATGTAGGCGGAAGATACCGGAAAGTAAAAACCCAAGGAGTCTGTTTCCCTTCTGTCTTCCAATTCATATCGATGCTTCCTGTCTAATACTTTCTTTCTCTGACCTTGTTATTTAGAGCTTCCTTTCCCATTTTCATTGTTCTGTAGGAAGTAAATGTCTTACACGATTGTGACTGGGCAACTTCATTTGTTTTCTAGTCGTTCCCACTCAGTTTTCTCTGTTACAATACATATGAAAGAAACTACAATTGATGGAGAAGAGCTTGTTAAAATTGGAAAGCTGAACCTGGTAAGTATCCACCTTAATGCTACTGTTTGATTCTTGACCACATCGTAGAGCACATGAAAATTTTGTACTTCTAGACCGTCTTTTTGTTTTCTGGGTTAATAGCTTGGTAGAAAAAATTTATGAATTATACAAAAGTCTTGTTGCTCCCTGTTTAGTACATTTTGTGTGTGTGAGAATGAAAGTAGTTGAATCCAAATCTGGCAGGCTAACTTAATTTTTTTAAATCAAAGGTTGATCTTGCTGGAAGTGAAAATATTGGCCGCTCTGGAGCTGTTGACAAGAGAGCCCGGGAAGCTGGAAACATCAACCAGTCGCTGCTGACCTTGGGCAGGGTTATTACTGCTCTTGTGGAGAGAACACCTCATGTCCCTTATCGAGAGTCCAAGCTAACGAGAATCCTCCAGGACTCTCTTGGGGGACGTACAAGAACATCTATAATTGCAACCATTTCTCCTGCATCTCTCAATCTTGAGGTAAACCCTTGAAAGGAAGCTGCAAGTATAGTAACCAAAATTTTTAGTTAACTGTCACAGGATCACGAGTTTTGAGAGCTCATTTACTGATTCATTCTGTGCTAGAGTATATAAGAATCTGGGTGTTGCATATGGACATATATAGGAAGACACTACTGAAAAAATGATCTTTGTTCTTTCTGGTGGAGTTCTTATTAATTGGAAAAGTCACAGAGTGAAGAGGACAGAGAGGCCTTCTGTCCTGAGATTCATTCCCCAAGTGGCTGTAATGGTTAGGATTGACATGGGCCAAAGCCAGCAGCTTCATCCAGGTTTTAACCATGCGTTACAGGAGCCCAGGCACTTGTTAGTGTCATAGAGGCTGCTTAGAGACTACTGAAGGTTGAATTGGGAATAGGGGAAAACCAAGAGAATCAACAAAGGTGAAAAAATCTGTTATTTTCTTGGCATCATCTGCTTTAAACAGAAGTTTTTATGTACTCTGAAATTCCTCTTTTACTTAAAACTTCTTTTCTCAAGGTCTTAATTTTTTTTGTGAGGCAGAGGAAAACATAGGCAGCCAGAGTTCCAATCCAGTAGTTCATTCATCAAATGCCCACAGTGGCTGGGGCCAGGGTTCCCAACTGGGTGGCAATGACCCAAGCACTGGAGCTTTCAGCCCTGCCTCCCAGCATACTGATTAGCAGGAAGAAAGAATCAAAAGCAGAGCTGGGACTCGGATCCAGGCATTCTGATATATGATGCAGGAATTTGGGCTTTCATTCTAAACGTCTTCCTTTACTCTCTGCATGTTTTTAGAATGTTTGTTTGTTTCTCATTTGTATTTGAGAGGCAGAGAGAGTGATACCTTCAAACCACAGATGCCTGCAGTAACAGGGACTGGGCTAGCCTGAAGCCAGCACTCTGGAACTCCATCCAGGTTTCCCATGTTGGTGGCAGAGACCCAAGTGCCTGAGCCATGAACTGCTGACTTACTAGTGTCAACATAAGCAAGAAGCTGAAGGAGAACAGAAGTGGGGCTAAAACCTACACTTTCCATTACATGATGCAGGCATCCCAGACATCAGTTTAAATGTGTGCCACAACACCCATCCCATCCTCTTTGTTTAAAAAAAAAAATGTTTATTGAATTATAATTTACAAACCAGATAGTTCACCCAGTTAAGGTGTAGTAATTCTCTGATTTTGGCGTATTCACAGAATTGTGCCATCCAAATTACGACTTTTTATTATCTCTGAAAAAGGCACTTTACTACTTAAGCAGTACTTTTCATCTCATGTTCCTCACTTCCAACCTCAGGCTACTTCTTTTTGTATCTATGTATTTGCCTATTCTGGATATTTCTTTTTTTTTTTTTAATATTTATTTTTATTGGAAAGTCAGATATACAGAGAGGAGGAGAGACAGAGAGGAAGATCTTTCGTCCAGTGGTTCACTCCCCAAGTGACTACAACGACCAGAGCCGTGCCAATCTGAACCCAGGAGCCTCTCCAGGTCTCCCACGCGAGTGCAGGGTCCCAAGGCCTTGGGCTGTCCTTGATTGCTTTCCCAAGCCACAAGCAGGGAGCTGGATATGGGAAGCGGGGCTGCCGGGATTAGAACCAGTGCCCATATGGGATCCCGGTGCGTTTAAGGCAAAAACTTTAGCCGCTAGGCTACTGTACCGGGCCCTATTCTGGATATTTCTTACAAATGAAATCATATATGCCCTAAAATACTGTCTTGGGGGTATATGAGACAGTGGTTAAGAAGTTTGGGATATTTGAATCCTGTGTGTCCTTGCCTGAGTCCAAGTTCTAACTCTGACTGCGGGTTCCACCTTCCTTCCCTGGAGTGCACCACATACTTGGGTCCCTGCCATCCACATGCAAAACCCAGATTGAGTTCCAGACTCCTGTTCCAGACTTACAACTAGAATTGGCTGGGGCAATTCTAGTTGTAAGTGTTTGAGGAGAAAAGCCGTTTATTCCTCCGTGCCTCAACTCTTGTTCTGCATTCATTGAATTTAAGGCTTGTCTAAGAGAAAAAAAAATATTGGATCTGTTTGTCATACAGATAATGTCTCTGAAATTGAAGAGAATGAAAGAAAGATAAGAATCGTTTGAATTGCTTCCTTTTTTTAAAAGTTATTTTTATTTGTATTTGAAAGGTGGAGTCACATATAGAGAAGGAGAGACAGAAACAGAGAGAAAGAGATAAAGAGGGAGAAATCGGTCTGTCTGTTGGTTCTCTCTCCAAATGATCCCAGTGGCTGGAGCTCAGACAGTCCAAAGCCAGGAGCTTATTCAGGGTCTTGCCACATGTGTGCAGGGTCCCAAGGGCTTGGGACGTCCTTGACTGCTCTCCCAGGCCATTAGCAGAGAGTGGGAGCGGAAGTGGAACAGCTGGGACTGATGGGATGGCAGAAGCTTAATTTGCTATATCACAGTGCAGGCCCAAATTACTTTCTTTTTAAAGATTGGGCATAAAAGACTTAATTAGTTGATTTTTAGATTAATTATAACATTATTATATAGTATGCATTATATTACACATTTATTAAAAAATATGTTTTGCATCATTGAATTCCATTATTGTCTTATTATCTTCAGTAACTAACCTTTTCTTTTGATGACAGGAAACCCTGAGTACATTGGAATATGCACATAGAGCAAAGAACATACTAAATAAGCCTGAAGTTAATCAGAAACTCACCAAAAAAGCTCTTATTAAGGTACTTCAGAACTTTAATGATGTAATCTAATTTTATTTAGTTAATGTGAAAATGGACTGAAACAGATTGCTCTTTCACTTGTTAAACGAGATTTTTTAAGTTGCCTGTGGCTTGCCATGCTTTTTATGGGTGATTTTAACTAAATGTGTTAACGTTAAAATGCTTCTTCCCATCAACTGAGCTGATGCCTTAACAATACTTGCAGTTAGTTATCTTTATAAGAAAACTTGGAATGTATATGCCTCTTTTGGCATACAAAGTTTTTTTTTAAAGATTTCTTAATTTTTATTAGAGGAGCAGATTTACACAGAGAAGGAGAGACAGAAAGATTTTCTGTCTACTGGTTCATTCCCCAAATGGCCCCAATGGCCGAAACTGAACCAATCCAAAACCAGGAGCCAGAAGCTTCTTCCTGTTCTCCCACATGTGTGCAGGGGCCAAAGGCTTTGGGCCATTCTCCACTGCTTTCCTAGGCCATAAGAATTGAGCTGTTTTGGAACTGGGATAGCCAGTACTTGAACCCGTGCCCTATGGGATGTTGCCAGATTAGCCTGTTGAGACACTGTACTGACCCCTAATCCAACACTTTTTGTATGTTTATAGAATAGTATAGCATGATAATTTCATATATATATTTTTTAAAAAGATTGATTTATTTTTATTGGAAAGTCAGATCAACATTATGGAGAGAAGGAAAGGCAGAAAGATCTTCTATTGCTGATTCACTCTGCAAGTGGCTGCAATAGCCAGTTGAGCTGTTCTGAAACTGGGAGCCAAGAGCTTCTTCATGGTCTCCTACATGGATGCAGGGTCCCAAGGCATAGACCCATCCTCTACTACTTTCCCAGGCCATAAGTAGGGAGCTGAATGGGAATTGGAGCAGCTAGGACACAAATCGGTGCCCATGTGGGATGCTGTGCTAAGAGGTGGAGAATTATCCAGTGAGCCATTGTGCTGGCCCCAGTTTGGGAGTTCTCAATATGTTCTAGATGCTCATCTATTACTGCAAAGAAAAGTTTGCAGATATTTTCTGCAAGTACATAGTTTATCTCTGTCTTTTCATGGAGAGCCTAAGTTTTTGGTTCTAGTGTGGTCCAGGGAATTCCCCCCCCCCCCCGCATTTGTATGGATCCAATTCTGGTTGCTTTGTTCCATTGACTTTCTCATGGAACAATGAGTCATTCTTCCCCAGTATTATCTGACTGATTACTGTGCTTACATGTAATTCTTGCATTTGGATAGACAGTTTAAAAGGAAGTTCATTATAATGAGAACGTTCAAAGGAGCTTTGAAAACTGTTGAGAAACTTTATTAGTATTTCTGAATAAACTAATGCTGTGTAGTTACTTTTATCATACTTTATGTTTTAGAAATGTGGGGCTAACGTCATGTTTTTGCTGTATCTTCCCCAAACTGAATGAAAGCAAAGTACTAAATTGACACATCTTTTATTCCTCCTGTGTAGGAATATACGGAAGAGATAGAGCGCCTGAAACGAGATCTCGCTGCAGCCCGAGAGAAAAATGGTGTGTACCTTTCTGAGGAGAATTTTAGGTAAGCTTTAACTATTGGGTCAGTTTGCCAGGAATAAGTGCTTTCTTTCTTTTTTCTCTTTAATGTTATCTTTGTAAAATATTAATTTATGTCTTGTTAACGCTTCCTTTATGGTTGTTTGTCTCCTGAATTTGTGAAGTTGTAAGTCGGACATTACTCAAAATGGCTGGCTATAAGATCTCCTGCACGGGGCCCAGCACAGTGGCCTAGTGCCTAAAGTCCTCGCCTTGCACACACCGGATCCCATATGGGCATTGGTTCTAATCCTGGCAGTCCCACTTCCCATCCAGCTCTCTGCTTGTGGCCTGGGAAAGCAGTCAATTACAACCCAATACCTTGGGGCCCTGCACCTGCGTGGGAGGCCTGGAAGAGTTTGTCTCCTGGGTTCGGATTGGCACAGCTCTGGTCGTTGCAATCACTTGGGGAGTGAATCATCGAACAGAGGTTATTCCTCTCTGTCTTTCCTCCTCTCTGTATATCTGACTTTTCAATAAAAATAGATAAATCTAAAAGCAAAAAAAGATCTCCAGCACCACATTCATTCACAGGGTACGTAAAACAACTCATTTTGCCATTCTCATCTACCTGGTGGTGCTTCAAGACAGCCAGCTTAACTTTTTTTCTCTTATGCTTATTCTTTTTTAGGAATAGTATAAGACTTCATCATTTCTTAAAGATTTGTTTTATTAATTTGCATAGCAGAGCTGCAGAGAGGGCCAAGAAATACAGAGAGGGCTTCAAATTGGCAACATGGGATGCTGGCGTTGCTGACAGCAGCTCAACCCCCTGCACTACTGCACCACTTCCCCCTTTATGCTTTGGTCTTAAAAAAGTAATCAAACACTTTTTGAAAAATGTGTACTCTTTTATTTATTTATTTATTTATTTTAAAGATTTCATTTGTTATTAATTTATTGAAAGACAGAGTTATAGGGCCCGGCGCGGTGGCGCAAGTGGTTAAAGGTCCTCGCCTTGCACGCCTGGGATCCCATATGGGCGCCGGTTCTAATCCCGGCAGCCCCGCTTCCCTTCCAGCTCCCTGCCTGTGGCCTGGGAAAGCAGTCGAGGGCGGCCCAAAGCTTTGGGACCCTGCACCCACGTGGGAGACCCGGAAGAGGCTCCTGGCTTCGGACCGGCATAGTATCGACCCGTTGCGCTCACTTGGGGAGTGAATCATCGGACGGAAGATCTTCCTCTCTGTCTCTCCTCTCTGTATATCCGCCTTTCCAATAAAAAAATAATAAAAATAAATCTTTTAAAAAAAGAAAGAGTTACACAGAGAGGAGATAAAAAACTGCTTCCATCTGCTGGTTCACTCCACGGCAGTTCCTGTCAGTCCGAAGTCAGGAGCCAGGAGCTTCTTCAAGGTCTCTTGACATGGGCTAGTCCAAAGCCAGATGTAAGAGCTCTGGGTCTCCCACATGGGTGCAGAATTCCAAAGCTTTGGACCATCTTCCACTGCTTTCATAGGCCGCAGGCAGGGAGCTGGGTGGAGCAGCCAGGATGCAACCCAGCACCCATATGGAATACAGCCATTTGGGGAGTGAACCATTGGATCCTTTTCTCTGTAACTGACTTTCAATTGAAAATTTAAAATAATAATAATAAATAGATAAATAACGCCTTAAAAATAATCAATAGGTCCAAAAAAATTAAGAATCGTTAGAATAAAAAGCCAGTAGGCCTGTCACATTAGCATAGTGGCTAAAGTTCTTGCCTTGAATGTGCTGGGATCCCATATGGGCACTTGTTTGTGTCCCGGCTGCCCCACTTCCATTCCAGCTCAATACTTGTAACCTGGAAAAGAAGTAGAGGATGGCCCAAGGCCTTGGGACCCTGCACCCGTGTGGGAAACCCAGAAGAACCTTCTGGTATCAGATTGGCTCAGTTCTAGCTTTTGTGACCACTTGGGGAGTAAATCAGCAGATGGAAAATCTTTCTATCTCTCCTTCTCTTTGTAAATCTGACTTTCCAAGAAAAATGAATTTTAAAATAAAAAAAGCTGGTGGTACGCATAGTAGCTCATTAGTTAAGGTGCTGCATAGCATGTCTACTTGCCATGTTGGAGGAGCTGGGGTTGAGGCTGTCTGCCTCTGTCCAGCTCCTGTTCATCCAGATGGGAGGCAGCAGGTGGTGATCGTGAGGTGAGGCCGTCACCCCCTGGGAGGCCAGGGGCAGTTTCTGGCCCTTGGGTTTAGCTCGGGCCAACTACCTGTTGTGAGCATTTAGAGAGAGAAGCAGAGAGCGTGTAGAAGATCTCTTTTTTTCTTTTGTATAAATATATTTTTTAAAGGATGTGTTTATGTGCTTGCAAGGCAGTTACAGAGAAAGAGGGCAAAGGAAAGAAGGGGATGGGGAGGAAGGAAGAGAGATCTTTTATCCTCTGGTTCACTCTCCAAATGGCTACAGCAGCCGGAGCTGGGCCAAGTCGAGGAGCCAGCCACCCAAGGACTTCAGCCATCTTCCATTGCTTTCCTGGGCACATTAGCAAGGAACTAGACTGCAAGTGGCCTTGGAAAGCAGTGGAGGATGGCCCAAGTTTTGGGAGATCTGCACACATGTCAGAGACCTAGAAGAGGCTCCTGGTTCCTGGCTTCAGATCAGCTCAGTTCTAGCACTGCAGCAGTTTGGGGAAGAGCACCAAGAGTGCCCTTGCTCTCTTACTCTTGGTGTATTTTCTAACTCTGCCTTTCAAATAAAAAAATTAAATTAAAAATATTATAAACTGTATTTTAGAGCTATGAGCGGAAAATTAACTCTTCAAGAAGAACAGATCGTAGAACTGATGGAAAAAATTGCTGCTGTCGAGGAGGAACTAAGTAGGGTAAGTATTCAAAACAATATTTATTACATGAAGAGCAGATAGTAAAAGGGAATTTTTAGAATCATAAGGACTTTCTATTTTTTTTCTTTATTAAGGTTTTTTTCTGAAAGGTTTACACTGAAAGTTATTAACATTTTTACTATTCCTAATGATAATACAAAATGTGTATTTTGATACATTAATGCAACATTGCAAGAAATTAGTCACACATTCCTTAGCAATTGGAATATGTTCAGAAAATATATAGATAGGTGACTTTATTGTTTGAACATTATAGAGTATATTCTCGAAACCTAGATAGACTAGGTCAGTTACTCTAAATGTCCTCTTGCTGTAATCAAGAGAAGAGATATACATGTGATGCTATGAGGCTGTGCTGGTGTAACACGGCACACTGCTTCACAGTAAGCTTTTGGTTTTTTTCTTAAAAATAGAAATACACTCTAAAAATAATTTTAAAATCAAGTAGGTTAGGAAGCAGCTTTGCTGTGTAGCAATTAACGCACTGCCTGCGATGCCAGATCCCATTTGAGTGCCAGTTTGAGTTCTGGCCTATCTACTTCTCATTTAGCTCCTGGCTAATGTGCCTGGGAAAACAGCAGAACATGGTCCAAGTGCTTGGATTTCTGCCACCCATGTAGTAGACCTGGATAAAGTCCCAGGCTCCTGGCTTTGGCGTAGCCAAGCTCCAGCTGTTGTGGCAATCAGGAGGTAAACGTCAGAAGGCAGATCACTCTCTCCCTTTCGCTCAGTCACTCTGCCTTTCAAATGAGTAACTCTTGCTTCTAAATAAATATGCAAGCCAGTAATATAGTCATTTTTTATCAAATATTTTGTCCCATACATAATTGTGTGTGCCATACGAAAAAAACAAATCTTTTTAATTTTTTACTTATTTGAGGGGTAGGGAGAGACAGACAGAGATGTCTCTCCCATTGGTTTGCTTTTCAAATGCCGGCAGAGGCCAGATCTGGACTGGATGGAGCTGGTAGCTAGGATCCCAATCTGGAGCCACTGTGTTGGCAGGAATCTGATTACCTGCTGCTTCACAGGATGCGCAGGGCAGGAAGCTGTGACATGGGACACAGGCATACCAGACCTATGTGACAGACAAAAATCACATGCTGATGTGCTATACTTACACCACTGTTGGTGCAATAGGTTTGTTTACAACAGACAAACATGTGAGTAATGAGTTGTCCTGGGACTCGTGACATCTGAAAGCAATAGGAATTTTTCAACTCTGTTACAATCTTATGGAACTGCCATTATAAATTGAGTTCATGAGTAAGCAAAACATCATAATGTATGACTGTAACTGAATTATGTAATTTTGTTGTTAGAGCTACAGAATAGTGAATGTGAGACATTTTCACTAATATATTTATCAGATGAAGGCATTTAGATATTGAGAGGGACTGAGTTTTATCAGAAGCAGTAAGTAGACTGGGCGGAGAGATCTGACCCTGTAATGCCATCCCTCATTAACACCTTCACAGTCAGCTCCATTTGACAGTAGAGGAGGGACTGAGAAATTAGTACAGCAAAGCAGTTATTTTGGAAATTTTCAGTAAGATCATAGGAAGAAATCTAATGTCATATAAAATTTACTAGCCTACCTAGTAACTTGTTACTGATTTTTAAGGAAATAACTTATTTTCATCTAATGGTATATTATAAATTAGCCTAGTATCTCACCAACCAGTTGAGCATTTTTGAATTTTTAAAAATGAGGTGTACTGTATTATATTTAGGTTACAGAATTGTTTGTGGATAATAAAAATGAGCTTGACCAGTGTAAATCTGACCTGCAAAATAAGTCACAGGAACTTGAAACCACACAAAAATATTTGCAAGAAACTAAATTGCAGCTTGTTCAAGAAGAGTATGTCACATCAGCTTTGGAAAGTACTGAGGAGAAGCTTCATGATGCTGCCAGCAAGGTTTGTTAGATTTTATTCTCATCAAAGAAAATGGATAAGAAGTAACTTTTTGGGGGGGCTTACACTTAATTCACAGGGTCTATTTATTCATTCTGAATGAAATCTCTATCAACTAAAAGCATTTTTACTATTTTATCCATATTTTTCTTTCTGGAACACCTGACGTAGAAAAAACTGTGAAAGTTTTGAAGATACAATATGACTTCATAATGTACCTTATGGATATTTGGAATAATACATGCTTTTTCTTTGTGGTGATGATGGTACCTAGTCAGTCATTCCCGGTTGTTTGCATTCTGATGATTGAAGTATTTAACGTTTCATTATGGATGTTTTGGAGAGACAGTAAAACATAACAGAAAGAGTAATAACTCTGAATAACTCTGAAGTCCATGCTCTTTGAGTAGATGGTAAGGGCGGGGAAATCAGCACCACTAGGCATCTGGCTTGGTTTGCATGAGAGTAAGCATTTATGTGATCCAGTGTTTAAAATTTCCTCGGTCTCTTCTGGAAACATCCTTGTTCCCAAAGATATTTTTCTATTACATTGCTTCCCTAATGTCTATCTTATCTACATTTTTTGTTTTGTTGTAATTTTGCATAGTTGCTTAACGCGGTTGAAGAAACAACGAAAGATGTTTCTGGTCTCCATTCCAAACTGGATCGTAAGAAGGCAGTTGACCAACACAACGCAGAGGCTCAGGATATTTTTGGCAAAAACCTGAGTAATCTGTTCAGTGATATGGAAGAACTAATTAAGGATGGCAGCTTAAAACAAAAGGCCATGCTAGAACTTCACAAGACCTTATTTGGTAAGTTCAGGGTTGTCTTGTAGTGTGAAGCTAATTTCAAAACTGTTAAGTTAATGTTGAAATACTCAGGTGACATTGTCATCGAGTACTTTCCCCATTGCACATACTCTCTCTGTTAAAAATTAATAATTTTCAGAATGGTGAACTTGGACCAGGCGCAGTAGCCTAGCACCTAAATCCTTGTCTTGCACACGCTGGTATCCCACATGGGCACCGGTTCTAATCCTGGTGGTCCTGCTTCCCATCCAATTTTTAGTATATGTGCTGCCAAAGCGAGCACCCTGCTTCCCATCCAGCTCCTTGCTTGTGGCCTGGAAAAGCAGTCGATTACAGCCTAAAGCCTTGGGGCTCTGCACCTGCATGGGAGACCTGGAAGAAGCTCAGGGCTCCTGGCTTCAGATCAGCACAGCTCTGGCCATTGTAGCCACTTGGGAAATGAATCAGCAGAGAGCAGATCTTTATCTCTATCTCCTTGTCTCTATAAATTTGCCTTTCCAATAAAATAAGAAAGTAAATATATATTTTTTTTTAGAAAGTGAAAGTGCTGGGACTCCCAACTGGCACTTCAGAATAGCATGTGGAGCTTTGGGCATCCCAAGTAGTGGCTTAACTGGGTGTGTTTCCTGCCATAGGGAAACAGTTCTTCTAAGTGTAGTGAAAATTCTACAACACAGATATTTTGGTTCTAACCGCCTAAATGTATTTCTGTTGGTGCTTACATTTTTATTTATATATTTTTTTGTTACAGGTAATCTGCTGTCCTCCAGTGTCTTCGCGTTGGACACCATTACTACAACAGCGCTTGGGTCTCTTTCATCTATCCCAGGAAATGTGTCGACTCACATTTCTCACATTTCTAATATGATACTCAAAGAACAGTCGCTAACAGCAGAAAGTAAAACTGTACTGCAGAATTTAATTGTTAGTACAGCTCTTCAGATATTTTTAAGGGTTTATGTTTGCTAAGTTTTTGAAAGCAATATTAACTACTAATTCTTCATCTTCTGCTTTGCTGATTAATGACACATGTTTCACTTTGGGAATATTTATATTTTTAAAGATAAAACTCTCTAGTGGGCTTTCTGTCTTCCTAGAAACAGAAAGTTATTTCCAAGTGTATAAGTTATATTCCCAGTGTGTAAGTTTATTTTAAAAGTTTGGTATTATGTGAGACTAATAGATGGAAGAAAATTAATTTATAGTAAAAGTGTTGGGATTAGATATGTGACCAAACCCTTGCACAGTTCTATAGAAGTCACTAATTTGGTTGCAGTTAATGTTGCCTCCTTTATACATCGCTTCCACTTTTTATTTTGGATTCATATGATTTAACTAAGACAACTCTGTACTTTGTCATTTCACTGGTTTCGTTCTCTCCTTTATACAGGCTGTCTGCCTCCGCCTTTTTTTTGTGTAAAGATTTATTTGTTTGAAAGACATAATAATCGGTAGAGAAGGAGAGATAAAGTGATCTTTGATCCATTGGTTCACTCCTCAGATGGCCACAACAGCCGTAGCTGGGCTGATGTAAAGCAAGAAGCCGATCTCTTAGGTGTCCCCCATGGGTGCAGGGTCCCAAGGACCCTGCTGTCTCCCCAGGTGACTAGCAGGGAGCTGAACTGGAACTGGAGCAGCTGGGACATGAACCAGGATACTGGTGCCGCATACTGAAGCTTAGCCTGCTAGCCCTTGGCACCAGCCCCGTGCCTCCATCTTTTGAGATTAACAATATTTAGTAAACATTTTCCAAGTAAATATTAGTAATATCAACTGTCCTTCTACCTAGATTCATGCTCATATGGCACTCTTTGATAGGCTCCTTCAATCATCCAGATTTGACAGAGTTATAGTTTTAAAGTTAGCATTAACTTTTTTTAGAAATTGATTCACCCAATCTTGTGAACCTGCACCCACGTGGGAGACCAGGAAGAGGTTCCTGGCTCCTGGCTTCAGGTTGGCGCAGCTCCAGCTGTTGTGGCCACTTAGGGATTGAATCAGCAAATGGAAGATCTTCCTCTCTGTCTCTCCTCTCTGTATATCTGAATTTCCAATTAAAGTAAAATAAATATTAAAAAAAAAATAAGTAAATCTTTTTTTTTTTTAAAGTTCTTTGGAACACTAAAATGTTATCAATTGATTATCATTTTTTCCCTTCTTCTGAATTTGTCTATCATCTGTTTAGTTAGACTCTTAAGAATTTGTTGAATTTAATTAACCAATTTCTTAATTATTAAAGGAAGAACTAAGAGTGTTTATGCTGAATAAAAACACTAGCCATATAGATACATCTCTATAGACTGAAGAATAGAAAATGTAACCTTAGAATTTTAATATGAATGTTTACTAAAAGTATTTTAAATGCCATCTAACCATCCAGGTTTGTGGAAATGGAAATATTGTGTTTTAAGGTATGTTTGTTTATTTTAAAAACAGAACATACATAAGACTGAACTTCTAAGTTCACTGGAAACGATTTTATCCCCCTCTGTGGTCTCCATATTGAAAATCAGTACTCAGCTAAAGCATATCTTCAAGACTTCACTGGCAGTGGCTGATAAGGTAACGAATAATAACTTAATAACTCAAAATTGCCGTGTTGTTTTAGGAAGAAGCTAATAATTTTTTTCCCCCTTAAAGATAGAAGATCAGAAAAAGGAAATGGATACCTTTCTCAGTACGTTATGTAACAATCTACATGAACTGCAGGAAAATACAATTTCTTCCTTGGGTGAATCACAGACAGTGTGTGAAAACTTGACCGAAGACTTGAAAACAATGAAGCAAACCCACTCAGAGGTATCTTGTTTGGCTGACTGGGGAAATGTAATAGAAAAGATTTATGCTAACTCAATGACTTAATGTTACACAATCTAGTATGATAAAAAATAATGTAGAAATCAATAAATACTAGAACCACTGTTGTTTATAGCTGTAATTCATGTAAAATAACTGAGAATAGTACTTCTGCTAATATGTCAGGGTTTGCTGTCTGTGGAATGTTGTGCTGAAACCATACGAAAAGTAAAACAGTCCTTTTCCCACACTGGAATGAAAGATAATATAAGACACACATATCTTTAAAAGCAGTTGGTTATAGCGCTTAAATTCAACTTGTGTCTTCATTATAACTTGATGCTACAAGTTCTTTATTTCTACCATAGCATGGATAATTATCTTTCTTAAACTAAATTCCTCACTTTGCATGCACCAGGAACCCATATTGGCACCAGTTCTAATCCCAGTGGGCCTGTTTCCCATTCAGCTCCCTGTTTGTGGCCTGGGAAAGCAGTTGAGGATGACCCAAAGCCTTGGGATCCTGCACCCATATGGGAGACCCAGAAGAGGCTTTGGTCTCTTGGCTTCGAATCGGCTCAACTCCAGCCATTGTGACCACTTGAGGAGTGAATCATCAGATGGAAGATCTTCCTCTCTGTCTCTCTCTATCTGACTTTCCAATAAGAATAAATGAATCTTTAAAATAATAAAGTTGGCTAATTATTGGCTTTTTAAAAATCCCTCTAATAATCATTTCACTTTTACTGGCTTTCCTATATGGAAGAGATGAAAGATCTCTCTTGCTAAGACTTAATTATTTTTATTGGAAAGGTAGATTTACAGAGACAAGGATAGTCAAAGGGAAAGATCTTTCATGTGCTGATTCACTCCCTAAATAGCCACAATGGCCAGAGCTGAGCTGACTAAAGCCAGGAACTTCTCCCGGATCTCCCACTTGAGTGCAGAATACCAAGGCTTTAGATCATCCTCTACTGCTTTCCCAGGCCACAAGCAGAGACCTGGATGGAAGTGGAGTGGTCAGGACACAAACCACAATCATATGGGGTCCTGGTGCTTGAAGACGAGAATTTAGCCATTGAGCCATTGCATTGGTCCCTAAAGATCTCTTTTTTAATGGATTTGTGTAATTCTGTCCTTTTGTAGAATATTTAGTATCACTATCCTGTACTCATTTGCAGAAAGGCTATTCAAATAGCCTCATAATTTCAAGTCTCTTTCCTTTTCCAACCTTTCTTACAGGAACTGTGCCAGTTAAGCAATCTTTGGGCAGAAAGATTCTATGCTTTGGAGAAAAAGTGTGAAAACATCCAGAAACCACTCAGTAGAGTCCGAGAAAAAACAGAACAGTAAGCTAATTTTTAAATTTTGGTTAGATTTAATGTATTGGATGGCATCTTAATGTTAGAATTCTCAAAGTTTGGAGTTTTATATATATATAGCAGTAAGCTATTTTAAAATGTCTGAAGTTAGTTCTGAAGAAAAATTTCAAATAGTACAAAAGTATTGTTTATATACATATGTGTATAAAGGTCCTCCTACGTAAGTATTATCCTATTGCATATTTGTGCTTCTGTTTCAGTGAGAAGCCTGACATTTTTCTAAAGTGTATTATTTCTTCAGTCAGTCTACACATTAAATACCTTCATAATTCATAACTGATATCACTGATAAAAAATATACTTACTAACCATAGCAGGGAAAATTATGATTGGTGTTGATTGTCTTTCTTTATAATAACAGTTTTGAACACTGGTATATCTGTTTCTATGTTATCTTTGGCTGCCTCTACGTTGCAGGAGGGGAGCTGCATCAATGTGTTAAAGTCGTTGGGCCATATGCTTAAAGTATTTGCTGTCTATCTTTTAAGGAAAAGTTTGGTTGTTCTTGCACTGGAGTTTAGTTTCCTTTGTGGCCACATAGTTTTTTAGTCCCAGGTGCTTAACACAGACTGCAGTCAGACCTGTGTTTTCTTCTAGGAGTTTTATAGTTTTATTGTATTTATGTCCATAATCCACTTGAAGTTTTTTGTATAGTATGTGTTTTGTCAAGGTTTTTTTTTGTTTGTATTGTTTTTGTTTTGGTCTGTGGACTTCTTAAGCCCATGAAAAGGATATTCTGCCATATTTAGCCAATTTTTGCCTATTTAGTTGTTACTTCCTGAAGTTTTTCAGGGTTCTTTTTGTGTAAAAACTTGTGTTAGCCTTAAAGGGTAGATCTACTTGCAATAGATTGTTTTCTTTCTATAAAAATGTCGTGTGTGATAGAAAATTTTCCAAGGTTTCTATGGCTCACATATTTCTCTCGGACAGAGCTTCTGTAGAGTTCTAGCTATCACCCATCTTTACTACCTTACTGCAGTGTTTTCTAACTCTGCTAATGATCCTATAATTTTGCTTAGTGAATTGCAGATTCTGAATCTATAAAATATTTCCTCACCTTTTATTCTAGTGTCTAGGTAGATTCCTTGCCCCTTTCACAACTTTGAATAGGATTGAAATAAGAAGGAAACTATGATATGCTTTGTTAAAGCCTTTACAAGTCATTTTTTCCTGATTTTTTGACATGTCTTGCCCTAACAGTGATTCTCAGAGTGGTCCAGTGACTATCAGAATGATCTTGTGGTTTTGATGAGACTTAGATATACTGCACATAACTATCTTTGGCATTTATTGTCATGGTTTTTTTTTTTTTTAAATATTTTCCAGAGAATTGTTCTATTTTCTTTTTTTTTTTTTTAAAGATTTATTTTTATTATGTTTTTATTGGAAAGGCAGATATACAGAGAGGAGGAGAGACAGAGAGGAAGATCTTCCATCCGATGATTCACTCCCCAAGTGAGTGCAATGGCTGATACTATGCCAATCCGAAGCCAGGAGCCTCTTCCGGGTCTCCCACGCGGGTGCAGGGTCCCAAAGCTTTGGGCCGTCCTCGACTGCTTTCCCAGGCCACAGGCAGGGAGCTGGAAGGGAAGCGGGGCTGCCGGGATTAGAACCGGCGCCCATATGGGATCCCGGGCGTGCTAGGTGAGGACCTTAACCACTTGCGCCACCGTGCCGGGCCCTATTGTCATGGTTTATAATCGTTTTTGACTGATCTCGATTTCCCACCTTGTTTCTTGAGGGGAGAGATTTACATTTATAGTTTCTAGGTTTGTCACTTTTTCTTCTGCAATGCTTTGTACATAATTTGTAAGTGAAAAGATTAAAAAGAGAAAATCATCAGTGAATTTAACAAGTGCATTCTGACATAGGTTTCATATCAAGTTTGTTATACTGTTCTAAATGTGCTACGTGTATAATGTGTCATATCCAATATAGTTTTAATTTCATTATTAAAACTTATTTAGTTGATTTTTAATTAAGAACATGAGCTCCAGAACTTAGACTGCCCAGTCAAAGCTATGTGTTCCTGGGAAAGTGGAGAGAGCCTTTGAGTCTTGGTTTCTCATTCCAACAATGTTGTGCTCTTTTCTATAGGACATCTAAGGATATAATCAACAAAACGGCTTTTCACAGTAAAAAGTTTTGTGCTGATTCTGAAGGCTTATCACAGGACCTCAGACATTTTAACGAAGATGGTACAAAATTGGTGGAAGAATCAGTGAAACATTGTGATACACTCAGTAGCAACCTGGAAAAAACATCTGAGGCAACTAAACAGAGATGTGAGTCTCTGAACACAAGCGCAGTTCATTTTTCTGAACAGTGGGAAACTTGCTTAAATAAGAGGAAAGAAGAACTTCAAAATTTATTAGAGGTAATAACTTTGGAGTCTAGTTGGGGGATAATAGCTATAATCAGAAAATTATTTTTGTCCAAGATTTGATTTCAAAAGAAATTGTAAGATATAATGAATTGTGGACTTTTGTGTGTAATACTTAGTATGCTTAAATATATTATTTTACATACTGACTTATGTCATCTAGGTCTTAAAGTTAATCAACCTCTTGTCCATTGTCTGTGTCAGGTTTTGGTTTTGATTTGTTAATTTCTTCATGGAGAAATAATGTGTTGAAATGTAGCATATACTTACATAAGCTTTTTACTTTTCTCCAGGTGCATTTTAAACTTTTTTTTAACAATGTCTTTAAATGTATCTAAAGGATAATTACAGAGAGAAAGTGGTCTTTCATTTACTGGTTCACTCTTCAAGTAATTGTAATGGTGAGAAGTGGGCCAGCTCTAAGCCAGAAACATGAAACTACTTCCTGGTCTCCCACATGGGTGTTAGGGACCCAGCGACTTAGGCCATCTTCCACCACTTTCCCAGGTGAATGAATTAGTAGGGAACTAAATGGGAAGCAGAGCAGCCAGGACCTAAGCCTGAGCTCATATGGAATGCTGCTGTTGAAGGCCATGACTTAATGTGCTGTACTGCAGCACCACTTCCAATATGTTATATGGATTTTGAAAAGACGAGAATTTAGAAGACAACAGCATTCCTATTCAAATGTATGGTACAATTAGAACATCAAAAGAATAATGGCTACAACAGATTTAAACATGTCAAATATTAAAATACATGAACCCATCTTTCCTGAAAGAAGCGGAGTTTGGTTTAGCAGGATAACTGGTTAAGAAAAAAATTTTTTGTAGAATTTCAACTAATAAAATAAGAAATGATAGAATTGGGCTCTCATTATCCTGCAACCCCTGATGAGATACCTTGTAGGTATTAGCTGCTTAACCATTGAATCAACAGCTGCTACAGATGGAGGAGTGGTTAAGATGTGGGTTGGGGGCACTCCTTTTATCCCATATTGGAGGACCTGGGTTCAAGTCTCATTCCACTTCTGATTCTAACCTCCTTCTTATGGACACCCTGGGAGATGCAGGTAATGGCTCAAGTATTTGGGTCCCTGTCATCCATGGGAGACCTGGGTTGATGAGTTTCCTGCTCCCAGCTTTAGTCTGATCAAACCCTTTAGCGTTGTGAGTATCTGGGGAGAATCTGCAAATGGGATATCTGTTTCTTCAACTATATAAATAAAGAAAAAATTTAAAAAGGAAGAAAATGCAGCATGGGAATGTAGTTGACCAAAGCAAGCAGTTCAAATAGTTACTGAAGAGCTGATTTCTCTTGTGTATATATATATATATATATTTTTTTTAAAGGAAAAAACTTTGAGGAAGACTAACCTATGGGTCTAAAGAGATTTAACACTATAGGCCTTTCAAATTATATGGTCACCTACTTTAGACATAGTAAGCAAGTCTAATGCTGAATTCTGATTCCCTCCAACTAGTTGAGGACAGCATTTGAAACTTTTGGTGGAACTTGACCACCGACTAGAATTTGATATCAAAGAATAGTATGGACAGCATTTGAAACTTTTGGTGGAACTTGACCACCGACTAGAATTTGATATCAAAGAATAGTATCAAGTTTTTTAGATGTGATTATGGCCTTTAAATTCTCTTAACTCTGATACAAAAGTGCTTCAAAAAGTTCATGGGAATTTTTCATTTTTTTCCCCCCTTTTTTTAGTGTTTACAGTTTATAATTTCCATGAAAAAGACAGTCATCATAGATAAAGTAACTGCAAGATCATTAGTCCTTTAGCTTTTTGCCAGAGTTAGTTCTGGCCTTGGCAATTACCCTGACCTCCCTCATCCTGTTCTTATGCTGTTTTCTTGAGGTCTTTTTCTTTTCACATAGCCCATGTCTTTCAAGTCTATATTTGGGTTCATTTTTCTTAGCATAATCCAAAGAGTCATAAGTTATGCTAGAGCCCATCTTGCCCCTACTAAAGTGACTTCAAAATCCAAACACAAAGATAACTTGGGAAGTTAACATGTACATTTTCGCTAGTTTTTTTCTGAATTTTCTGTCTTTGGCATGATTGCCTCCCCAGGGTAGCAAACATTGATAACCATTTGTTTGCTCTGAAGTAGTCAGTTATGGGCTGCATGGGCAAATAAATATGTCATTTATGATGGTGGTCAAACCTTATGCAATGAGAGCAGAAAATGAGTGAAATCTTGTTTTATTTATCCTTGTGTGTTGGTAAATGTTGAGGCTGGGTAATGACTACATGGGGTTAATTATTCTCTTTTATGTTTATATGTTTTTTTTTAAAATTTTTGAATGCGGAAACTTCCAAGGTGAAGGAAAATGATTAACTGAATAAACACTAACAACTTTAATTTTAGTAATGAAAGCTTATTTGCATCATTTACAGTTTGTAAACCAGTGTTGTGAAGCTTCAAGCTCAGAGATCACAGAAAAATCAAATGAATATAAAGCAGCTAATGAGAACCATCATAATGCTTTTCTGGGTCAGATGACTACTGATGAAGAAAAATTGAGAGTACAAAATGCAGAACTTAACAACAGTATAAATATTGGCATGAATAAGCTTAATTGCTTCCTGCAACAAGAACTTAAACTGGATGTCCCAACAGGTATTTTAAAAGAAATGTAAATGTTTTTGTCATTGAATTTAGCCCTTGTCAGTGTCACACGTGCAGATGAACAAGGCCCTAGCCATTGCATGATAGGAATTTACCATCAAAATATAATCAACTCGGGCCCAGCGCGGTGGTGCAAGTGGTTAAAGGTCCTCGCCTTGCACGCCCGGGATCCCATATGGGCGCCGGTTCTAATCCTGGCAGCCCCGCTTCCCTTCCAGCTCCCTGCCAGTCGCCCGGGAAAGCAGTCGAGGACGGCCCAAAGCTTTGGGACCCTGCACCCGCGTGGGAGACCCAGAAGAGGCTCCTGGCTTCGGATTGGCATAGCATCGGCCGTTGCGGCTCACTTGGGGAGTGAATCATCGGACGGAAGATCTTCCTCTCTGTCTCTCCTCTCTGTATATCCGCCTTTCCAATAAAAAAATAATAAAAATAAATCTTTAAAAAAATATATAATCAACTCGAATAAGGAAAAATTGGATTCCCCAAACAGTTTTAATTAGCCATTACTTGTCATGAAATAGATGACATGATGTAGAAATCTGGGCATCACAATTCAATAAAATGTCACATACATTCAGGGAACTGATTTTATTAAAAAAGAACACTTTAGGGCCCGGCGCGGTGGCGCAAGTGGTTAACGGTCCTCGTCTTGCACGCCCGGGATCCCATATGGGCGCCGGTTCTAATCCTGGCAGCCCCGCTTCCCTTCCAGCTCCCTGCCAGTCGCCTGGGAAAGCAGTGGAGGACGGCCCAAAAGCTTTGGGAACCTGCACCCTGTGGGATACCCGGAAGAGGCTCCTGGCTTCGGATTGGCATAGTATCGGCCCGTTGCGCTCACTTGGGGAGTGAATCATCGGACGGAAGATCTTCCTCTCTGTCTCTCCTCTCTGTATATCCGCCTTTCCAATGAAAAAAATAATAAAAATAAATCTTTAAAAAAAAAAAAAGAACACTTTAAAAAACAAGCAAACAGGAAGAATAGCAACCTTTTACCTCTAAGTGTTTGTAAAATGACATTTTATTACCAAGACATTAGAGGGATATGCTTGACTAAATCTAGTTCAATACAGAGTTCATTTTGTTTTTGATTGGTACTGTTAAGGAGTCACCGCTTTGGGAGATCACACACAGTAAATATCAGACAGCTTCAGTGACTCAGCAAAGACTTGAGTGAGAGAGGAGCCCGTTTACTTTGATTAAACTGGATTGGTGTGATCGTTGCACACCGTGTAAATTCACTGAAAATCACTGATTTGTATACTTTAAATGAATGAACTTTGTGCTTTGTAAATAACACTTAAAAGCTGCTTTTATTTTTAAAGCATTTTTAATTAATTAATTTATTTTTTTAAAGATTTATTTTGTTTTTATTGGAAAGGCAGATATAAGGAAAGGAGAGACAGAGAGAAAGATCTTCTGTCCGATGATTCACTCCCCAAGTGAGCCGCAATGGTCGATGCTATGCCAATCCGAAGCCAGGAGCCTCTTCTGGGTATCCCACGTGGGTGCAGGGTCCCAAAGCTCTGGGCCGTCCTCGACTGCTTTCCCAGGCCACAGGCAGGGAGCTGGAAGGGAAGTGGGGCTGCCGGGATCAGAACCAGCGCCCATATGGGATCCCGGGCGTGCAAGGCGAGGACCTTAGCCACTGCGCCGTCGCGCAGGGCCCTAAAGCATTTTTTAACAGAAGATAGTATTAGAGCATTTTCATTTGTTTTCCCAAAGATACTTAAAGTGTTTATTGTCTGGTTTTCATTGAATTAGAAATGCAAATATTAAATGAAAAGGGAAATTATTTTGTAAATTGTGAGAACATGAATCGAGTATAAATAAATATAGCTGGTTAATATCTAAATGCCATACCAAATTTATAGTGAAGTGATTCATTCAGTCACAGTAATATGTTGGGAGAGCTAGGCTGGCATTTCTTGAACACCCTTTAACTCTTTTCAGAGTCTACCTCACATGTGTTGTACATTCTTGGAAATGGAAACATCATGCTTTGATGTTAGAATTAATATCAGACGTGATCAACAGGCCTGGGTTGGTAGCCTAGTGGCTAAAGTCCTTGCCTTGCATGGCCCGGGATTCCATATGGGCACCGGTTCTAGTCCCACTTTCCATCTAGCTCCCTGCTTGTGCCCTGGGAAAGCACTTGAGGATGGCCCAAAGCCTTGGAACCCTGCACTCTGTGGGAGTCCCAGAAGAGGCTCCTGGCTCTGGGCACCAGGCTTCTGGGTTCGGATCAGATCGGCTCGGCTTGGCTTGGTTGTGGCTGTTGCGGTCGCTTGGGGAGTGAATCATCGGATGGAAGATCTTTCTGTCTCTCCTCCTCTCTCTATATCTGACTTTCTAATGAAAATAAACAAGTCTCTTTTAAAAAGCAATTAAAAATTTTTTTAAAGATTTATTTATGTTTTATTGGAAACTCAGATATACAGAGAGGGAGTAACAGAGAGAGGTTTTCCACTTGCTGGTTCACTCCACATCCGGCTGCCATGGCTGGAGCTGAACCGATTTCCAGGAGCCAGGAGCTTCTTCCAGATCTCCCACATGGGTGCAGGGTCCCAAGGCTTTGGGCCATCCTCAACTGCTTTGCCAGGCCATAAGCAGGGAGCTGGATGGAAAGTGGAACAGCCAGGACAAGAACCAGCACCCATATGGAATCCTGGCATATGCAGGGCAAAGGTTTAGCTATTGAGCCACTGTACTGCAAACCCAAATCAAGTCTTCTTAAGACCTTCTGGGAAAATGTTGTCTGTAAGCAGGATGTGCCTGACAGGTATCAGGACTGATTCTCATTAAAGGCAAGACTCAATCTAGAAATGTAATTTTACAATTTCAAAAAATATGTATATCATAAATTTGAAATTTTCCCACATCTGACATCTTTTAAAGGTATGACACCACAGAGGAAAACTTACTCATACCCCTCAACCCTGGTGAGAACAGAGCCACGGGAACAGCTCCTCGATCAGCTGCACAGGACACAGCCTGAGCTGTTCATGATGCTGAACTGCTCCGAAGACATCAAAGAAGAGATCAGTCAGGTAAAAATCAGGGTAGCGTGACTGGTGGGTTTCACCAATGGTGTGGTGAATTTCACGTTAGGAATTTCACTCTTTACCCTTCAGCCCTACCATGCCTCTCATGAATGAGAGTTGGCTGGCTCTGAAACCTCTTTTCTTTAATGCTGGCAGTTTTTAAATTAGACTAATAGGTAATACTAAGATCCATTTTTTAAGCTCTTCAGTTGCTAACTGAAGTCTCAGAACCCCTGTGAAAGGGATGTTCTTTTTACCCCCATTTTAATGAAGAGTGAACTGAAAGTTACTTTGCTCAGGTCTTGAAGCTATACTAGCGCTTAGAACCTCTACTGATGCCTGGAATCTAACAACAGAAATTATAGAACAGATGGAAAGTTAAAAAACAACAAAGAAAAAATGAAAAACAAACTGTAAGTCTGTTATCCTGATACTACATTTAACATTTTATCCTAGGAACTTCTACTCATACGAAACATAATACAGATTAGTTTTATTGCTTTGTAAAATTGTAAACTGTTGAGGCTTGATTTTTATACTATGAGCATTGTGTTGTATGAAAAAAACAAACTTTTTTTCTTGTGACTTTCAAGCACTTGTACTTACTTACTCATCCATCTTCTTAATGATAGGACATGGATGAAGAAAAGATGCTTCTGGAGCAAACCATGGAAGAATCTGTAAGTCAGGAGCCACCTGTAGATGCTGGCGTGCTTTTTCCTTCACGTGCCGGGGTTCCGTTTTTCCAGGTACCTGTTTATATTGTATCATGTAACCTTTCCCTGTCTGACATAGGTATCTTATTTTTATTTTAAAGATTTATTTATTTTTATTGCAAAGTCAGATATATAGAGAGCGGAGGAGAGACAGAGAGGAAGATCTTCCATCCGATGATTCACTCCCTAAGTGACCACAACGGCCAGTGCTGTGCCAATCTGAAGCCAGGAGCGAGGAGCCAGAAGCTCTTCTGGGTCTCCCACGCAGGTGCAGGGTCCCAAGGCTTTGGGCCATCCTCGACTGCTCTCCCAGACCACAAGTAGGGAGTTGAATGGGAAGTGGGGCCGCTGGGATTAGAACCAGCACCCATATGGGATCCCAGCATGTTCAAGGCAAGGACTTCAGCGCTAGGCCACGGCGCCGGGCCCGGTATCTTATTTACTGTTCAACATAAAGGATTTGCTCCTGGTGAGAAAAAGAATTAAGTTATTCCTTTAGAATGCCTTCTTAACTTTCTATTTAAATTATTTACATAACTGATACTGATAAGTTTTCTGTAGGATAAACTCAAAATTTGATCTAGGCTACACTCTCAGCTGGTAATCTTCAGCTGCTATATTTATCCTGTTCATGCTCCCTATTATATATTCAGAATGAATTCTGAGAGCAATCATTTCTGCCCTCCCTGTACCTTGGACCTGGAAATCCTGGGGTCTGTCTCTGTGACTTTGAAGATGAGGGTTTAGGAGACTAAAACATAGACGGCCTCTTGAATTCCATTAGTGAGCTCTCCACCCTGAAGTTACTTATTCCTGTATTTGTTGAGATTCTTGTCTGCTCTGATCTGTGCAATTCAGTCCTCTGACCAAGGCCATTCCAGTGGCATTGCATGTTAATCCTTCATGGTTCTAGTTCTAGTAGCTCCACTTCTCATCCAGCTCCCTGCTTGTGGCCTGGGAAAGCAGTGCAGGATGGCCTGAGTCGTTGGGTTCCTTTACCTGCATTGGAGATGTAGAAAGAAGTTCTTGGCTTCTGACTTAAGATCACCTCACTCTGACCATTGCAGACACTTCGGGAGTAAACTAGTGAATGGAAGACCTCTCTGCCTCTCTTTTTCTCTCTGTAAAATCTGCCTTTCCAATATAAAGAACGAAATAAATCCTGTTGACCTTTTCCACTTTCTCTCTTTTTAAGGTTTATTTTTATTTAATTGAAAGGCAAAGTTAACAGAGAAAGAAGGAGAGATCCGTTGGTTCACTCCCCAGTAGGCTTTAATGTCAGGACAGGAACTGTAAAGGTAGGAGCTTCAGGTCTCCCATGTGGATGTAATTGCCTAAGAACTTGGGCCATTTTCCACCCCATTCTCGTGTCATTAGCAGGGAGCCGAATTGAAAGTGTGGCAGCCAGGACATGAACCAGTGCCCATATGGGATGCTGGTGTAGTTGGTGACAGCTTAAGTCACCAGGACATGACGCCAGTGCCATATCTTACTCTCTTAAGCACTGCTGGAATATGGCAGTGTAAACTTTCTAGGATCTTTCCCTATTTTGAAGCCAGGAGCTAGGAATTTCATCCCTAATGGATGGCAAGTACTTGATCTATCATCTGTTGCCTTTCCAGCAATGTTAGCAGGAAGATAGATCAGATGTGGATTAACCTGGACTGGAACCAGGTCCTCCAGTATCATCGTAGGCATCCCAAACTTGGCTTAATGCTCTGTGCCACTACGCCTTCTACTCTTTCAGATTTTTTTCTAATCTCTTCTATTTTATAAAGTTAGGGAAAAGAGAAAGGAGAACCTTAGGAACCTGTTTAAACCCTAGTAATAAATGCCTTCTTACTATTGTTTGTGGCAATTTTGCAGACTAGTTTTATGACTGACTTATGACAAGGAAGTATGTATCTACGGTACCAGAAAGAATTGGGGATTGGATTTTAGACTTTCAGCTGACAATCCAGGGCTAATTTGGAGAATTTGCTGGATTTGAAACTCAAAATGATGTGGGGAGTTTCTCTGGGTCAGAAACACTACAATTTTATTTTATTTTTTAAGGAAGATTCATTTTTGTTTGAGTAGTTTACGTGTTTGAAAGGCAGAGTGACAGAGAGGGACAATGAACGGGTGCTTCATCTACGGGTTCACTTCTCAGAAGGCGCAACAGTCAGGGCTGGGCCAGGCCACAGCCAGGAGCCTGAAAGCTAGAAGAGCATCTGTGTGTCCTATATGGCTAATCAGGGCCTGTGCACCTGGGCCATCTTCCATTGCTTTCCCTAGCGCATTATCAGGAAGGGAGATCTCAAATGGAGCAGGTGGAACTTGAATCAGTGCTCTCATTTGGGATGCCAGTGTCACAAGGGGCAGCTTAACTTGCTGTGCCACAATGCTGACTCCTGGGTCTGGAGGTTTGCAAGTTGTTTATGATTTGTCTCAGCACTGAAGACAGTATACATTGAAAGAACTGGAGCAGCGTTTGGCCTGGCACTGTAGCCTAGTAGCTAGAGTCCTTGCATTACATGTGCCAGGATCCCATATGGACATCATTTTGTATCCTGGCTGCCCCACTTCCATTCCAGTTCCCTATTTTGTGGTTTGGGAAAGCAGCAGAGAATGACCCCAAACCTTGGGATCCTGCACTCACATGGGAGACCCAGAAGAAACTCCTGGCTCCTAATTGGCCCAGATCTGTCTATTGTGGCCACTTAGGGAGTGAACCAGCAGATGGAAGATCTTTCTCTCTGTCTCTTCTTCTCTCTGTAAATATGACTTTCCAATAGAAGTAAATAAATTTTTTTCATCTAATCTGCCTTTCCCATAAAAATAAAATATATTTTTCTAAAAAACAGAAAAGAAAGGATTGGAGGGATTTCAGTGAAATATCTCTCTCAAATAACTGACACAATTTTTTAAAATAAGAAAAATAGGAAGACTTTGTGCTTCAGTTTAAGCTGCTGCTTGGGTTATTGCCCTATGAGAGTGCTGGTCAAAGTCCCAGCTGCTCTGCTTCTGATATACTCCCTGCTAAAACACCTGCGAAGCAGGGATAATGGTCCCAGTGGTTCACTTCTACCCACGAAGGAGACCCAGTTGGAGTTTCTGGCTGCCAACCTCGGCTTGGCTAAGCTGCGGTTTTTGAGGCTTTCCGGGGAATGAACCAACAGATATATAAGACCATTCTCTCTCTCTCTCTCTCTCCCTCCCTCCCTCCCTTTCTCTCTGTCATTCTGCCTTTAGAATAAATAAGTACTTTTTTTTTCCTGAAAGAAGTGTATTAATGTAACTCTTGTATATCAGCCTCTGTGCTTAGAAACAGTATGCATTTTTTCATGATGACCAAGCTCTGCTCCTGTTGGCTGGGGTTTCTCACCATCAGCACTGTGGACATTTAAACTGGATACTTAATGGTTGTTCTGGGCTGTCCTCATTATTATATGGTAGCAGCATCCTTAATTCCTGCTTACCTGAATCCAGTGTCACTCCCCAACTGGAACAGCTAGAAATGTCACCTTGACATTGCTACGTGTCCTCTGGGGAGCACGGTCATTTCCTGTTGACAACCACTAGCCTGAGGTGAAATCTGTGATTGTGTTTTAGGAGATCTACAGAAAATTAATATTTCTTTCACTCTATTTCTTCTGTGAGTGGTAGAACATTAACCTTTACTTGCTAAACGTTTTGCTTAAATTTAGGCTGAACCTTTTCTGAAGTTTTTTGGACTTAAGTTTTCCTATCTTTAACTCAGAGAACTTTGAATATACATAAGCTAATCCTGTCAAATGTATTTTGCTGATATAATTTCTCCCCTTAAATCCACAGCATAAAAAGTCTCATGGAAAAAACAAAGAAAACAGAGGCATTAACCCAGTGGAGAGATCTAAGCTGGAAGAAACTGCAGAATCTTCTGTTACAAAGAGCCGATTACCTCTACGAACACAGATAAATTTTTAATTAATTTGAGGATCAAAAATTTTATTTTTAAGAAAAATTTAAAAATTAAAACCAGAACATGAGCCTTGTGTATAGATTTTAAAAGAATAGAATATGTCAAGGCTGTACTGTAAATATTTTGAATTTATATCTACTCCCTCCCTTTTTGGGGCCATTCCTATTATTCTCTCTGTATTAAGTTGGGTTTTACTTGGGGTTTTCCTTGAGTAAGTACAAGTTTATGTTGTTAGATTTTCATATAAAGTTACCCTTTTTATAACACATGGAAAATTTTTGTATATACATTACTGAACAGTGAGTAAAAGGGAACTGCATTATTCTTCTACACGTGATCTAACATGGGTGAACTGGCCTGGGAAGGGACATTTCTTTTCTTGCTGTGACTGAGTTAAGTATGTGTGTGTTTCTTAGGCTTTCTTATTTTGCCTTATGGGTTCACTTTCGCCTTTTTGTTATCAGCCCATTTATAGAGCTATAAAAAGATGTCTTTTTTTATAATGAGAAGGAATTTTACCTAGAAACCTTTATGCTTTTCAATGTTAAAATCATTGTCTATAATAAACAATTCCTTTTCCTGAGTATTCTGAATTTTGTGTTCCACTAGTTGTGCAGCATGCTATTCTCTGAGTTCACAGAAAGCCAGCTTCTCCGGAATGCAGATGCTGTTATGGGAGAACTACCTAGGACTCTGATCAGTGTCGCCTTGCCAAGGCGTATATCTTAGAGAAGATCACAGTGATTTAAGGACATTTTGAAACTTAGCAATTATGACTATAATTTATATTCATTTGTTTGCCAACTGAGACTGTTCTTTGTATATAATAAAATTTGTACATATGTTTTTCTTTATTGAAATCATAGCTCCCATAATGCCGCTGGCATTTTTGATGAGGCACATATATTTCTGGAAGTAGAGATGTTTTAGCAGAAAGAGCCAAAGCACTTAAAAGGACTATGTGCAGAGAATAAATGTTGTGCCCACATTAAGTTTGATGTATAAATTTTAGAGAGATTTCTTTTCAATAGCTAAGTAAAACTGAACCGTATTGGAAAATTTAGCAAATATGCTACTTGGAGGAACTAAATTTACCTTGCAGAAGTACTAATTTTCTTTATAAAAATGATGGATAAAATTTCTCTGCCAAAAGGTATCAATATAAGCTATGGATAATATTTAATAAAGCATCCTTGGTAAATCTTGATGAATAAATTTGATTTCCTCATAACCTTGCTTGCCCTAGAATGTCTTACATTGCTTGGTTTTATTTTTTCAGGGTTATACAGCTGCACTAAATGTCAGAAACAGACAACACAGGTACAAAGGGCACAGTGAGCATCCCAGGCTGCACTTGCACCCCCACAGAGCCCTGCGTTACATATGACATTAATGGGAAGGGAAATGAACCTACCTCATACAGCCTCAAGTCCAGCTTTGAAGTCACCTCATTCCTTATTTTATTGTATTTTTTTAAGATGTATATTGTTTATTTGAAAGGAAGAGGGAGAGACATTTTGTTTCTGCTGGTCACTAATAACATGTGGGATGGGGAAAGGCTGAAGCCAGGAGCTTCATCCTGGTCTCACATGGCTGGCAAAATCCCAGACACTTGGGCCATCTTCCACTGCCTTTCCCAGGCCATTTGCTGGATTGCAAGAGGAATAGCTAAAGCATGAACTGGTGCCCTACGGGCTGCAGGTGTCTGTGGGCCGTGGCTTTGCCCACTACACTCCAATGCTAGTCCCTTCCCTTTCCCTAACCCCAGCTGTTTGAAAGAACTGAAACAAACTTAACTGTCCAAAGAATTTTAATATCCAGAGCTGATAATAAAAACATTTTCATATACCAAAAGTAGCATCAGTAGAAATGACAGAGTAAGAAGTTTCAGGGACCTGTTCCTCCAAAGCAACTATGAAAAATCAAGCAGGGATTCAGAAACAATTCGGTCAGGTTTTGGTTCTAGGAAGCATACGCTGATCAAGAAAAAGGCAAATCAGAACCTTTGCCTATTTGCCTCCCCAGCTCGGTGTCAAAGATGGCAAAGTCCCAGGTGTGGCCCTGTTTCATTTACCTTGTAACTTAAGGTAGAAATGTGGTGGACATTTCTCAAAAACAATTGCAAGGGCCTGGCACGCTAGCCTAGCAGCTAAAGTCCTAACCTTGAACTTGCCAGGGTCCCATATGGGCACTGGTTCTAATCCCAGCGGCCCCGCTTCACATCCAGCTCCCTTTTGTGGCCTGGGAAAGCAGTCGAGGATGGCCCAAAGCCTTGGGACCCTGCATCCATGTGGGAGTCCCAGAAGAGGCTCCTGGCTCCTGGCTTTGGATCAGCACAGCACTGGCTGTTGCGGCTGCTTGGGGAGTGAACCATCAGAGGGAAGATCTTACCTTCTTTCTCTCCTCTCTGTATATCTGACTTTGCAACAAAAATAAAGAAATTTGTAAAACAAAACAATTGTAAGACTAATAAGCAACCTGCTGTCGTTTGGACCCACAGAGTTGACATGAACGAGTGAGTGAGTGTCTAAATTCTGGGAAAAGAGTGAAGATTTTTTTCCTTTTTTTAGAAAAGATTTATTAACAGAAGGGTAATGGAGATGTGGAGAGAGATTTTTCTTTCTTTTTTTTTTTTAAGATTATTTTTATTGGAAAAGTAGATATACAGAGAGAGGAGGAGAGACAGAGAGGAAGGTCTTCCGTCTGCTGGCTCACTCCCCAAGCGGCCACAACGGTTGGAGCTTAGCCAATCCAAAGCCAGCAGCCTATTCCGGGTCTCCCATGCAGGTGCAGGGTCCCAAGGCCATAGGCAGGGGGCTGAATGGGAAGTGTGTGGGGCCTCTGGGATTAGTACCAGCACCCAGATGGGATCCTGAGGAGAGGACTTTAGCCACTATGCTATGGCACCGGGCCTGAAAGAGATTTTGTATCTGCTGGTCCATTCCCCAAATGTCTGCGATCAATGACTGGCTATGGTTAGAGCTGAAGTTTGCAGCCCTGAGAACTCCATCCCACATGGGTGGTTGGCAGGGACAACTTCCACTGCTTTTCGTGCACACAGCAGGGATCTGGATTAGAAGCAGAGCAGCAAGGACTCAAACTAGGACTCCCATATGGTTGCTGGAATGGCAGGCAACAACTTAACATATTTTATCACAACACCAACCAGGAAAGAAATTTCTTAAGGAAATTAGGTCGTTCAGAAGCACCCATGGAAGACATTTGCCCAGGTTAGGGTGTGAACTCAGAAAAAGACCTGAGGCTCAGCTCAAGTAGAGTGAAGGCCTGGCTTGCAATGGCCTGTTTAAATTTTTTAAATGGTCCCAACAGCCAATTTCCAAGACTTGGAAGGAAGACTGGAAAGACCATACAATCAAAGAGTAGACTTTGTAGAGTACAAAATGACACAGAGTACCAAAATAACAGTCGTTCAACAGATCACTGTAGCCCCTAGGAAGCAACAAATGCAAATCCTAAGGAGTGAAGGATCTGAGTTTCAAATGACCAGGTTTTTAGTGGAAAAAACTATGAAGTGTGCAACCAAAGTGTGCCAATCACTGAAGAGATTCACACCCATTGTCTCTGAAGAAGATGGACATAGAGACGGTTACCAAGTGTCTTAACTGCCCTCCAGAGCTAAAGAAATCCCGAGAAGCAATGTTACAGAGCAGGCATCATGGCACAGTGGGTTCAGCTGCCACCTACTGTGCCACATTCCAGATGGGCTTGAGTCCCTGTTGCTCCACTTCTGATCCAGCTCCTTGCTATGACCTTGGAAAGCAGCAGCAGAAGGCCCTAGTGCTTGGGCTACTGCACCCACATGGGAGATCCAAAAGGAACACCAGATTCTGGCTTTAGCCTGGCCTAGACTCAGCCGAAGCAGGCACTCATGTGGGAGATCTTGAGGAAGTTCCTGGATCCTGGCTTCGGATTGGCGCAGCACCAGCCAGTGCACAGGGGTGCAGGGTCCTAAGGCTTTGGGCTGTCCTCAATTGCTTTCCCAGGTCACAAGCAGGGAGCTGGATGGGAAGCGGGGCCACTGGGATTGGAACTTGTGCGCACTGGGATCCTGAGGCGCATTCAAGGTGAGGACTTTAGCCGATAGGCCACGGCGCCAGGCCCCCCACCGTAACTTTTAAGACTTTTTCACTAGCTCTTAAAAAAAAAAAAGCCTGGCCCGGCACCCACGTAGGAGACTTGGAGGAAGTTCCTGGCTCCTGGCTTTGGATCAGCGCAGCACTGGCAGGCTGGTTGGGCTTTGCCATAGCATCAGCCAGCAAGTGCTGGAACTGGGGCCAAGTCATGTTGAGCGAGGCTGCAAAACCCCCTGCAGTGTGCAAGATGCAGAGCAGTACATGGATCCAGTGGGGAGCTGTGTGCACCTCTGTGATGGGCTGAAACTCCCACTGGTGAGCATGGGGGTGGGACTGGCTGGACAGGCAATGGCACCCACTGGCATTTGTGTGGGCTGGATGGTGGAGTCGGTTGGCTTGAGTTAGGCTTCAATGTGTATGAGGTCTGAATGGGATGTGGGGCAGACCGGACCAGTCCACTGCACATGATGCTAGCAGGCACAGGAACCAGAGCTGTGGGCTGGTCCATGTGGGTTTTTGGGTGTTACTCTGACTGGGTTACAGCTCTCCTGGTGTATGTGAGGGCCAAAATGTGAGCACAGCAGGGCAGGTCCGGGGGTTTGGCAACCATTGGTTTGCAGCGGAAAGAGGGCAGAATAAATTGATCAACTGTTCCAGCAAAGCTTGATAGCAAATTTCTGGGCAAATGGAGACTCTGAGGTGGACAATGTCAACCAATTGACCTTGGAAGGATTTCTTCATCCTTGAATCAGCAGTATCAACAGCATCTGAAAACCACCTGAGCAGAACCCTCAGAACTTGCTCCACAACGGGGACCCATGGATTGCATCAGGTGGCCGTTGTCCATTCCCGGACGTTGGTAAGGCGGTTGGGAGCCTGGGTGTAGCTTTTGCCCTTATCTCCCCCATTTCCCAGATAAAGGAAGAAGAAAAAGATAATGTGTAAACAATGTTCTAGCCCACTTACCCCTGATCCTCGACCCTTCCTACCTTGATCTGCTATGTAGACATGAGCAAGAATGAAATATATTATAAAAAATAAAATAAAATTTAAAACAAAAGGAAATATAAATAAAAATAAATTCTTGCCTAGGCTGCACCAGGATCCCATATGGGCGCTGGTTATTGTCTTGGCTGTTTCACTTCCCATCCAGCTCCCGGCTTGTGGCCTGGGCAAGCAGTCAAGGATGACCCAAAGCCTTGGGACCCTGCACCCATGTGGGAGACCTGGGTCCTTGCTTCGGCTTAGCTGAGCAACAGCTGTTGCAGCCACTTGGAGAGTGAATCAGTGGGGGAAAGACCTTTGTCTCTCTTTCTCTCAGTAAATCTGCCTTTCCAATAAGAATAAGTAAATCTTGAAAATAAAAACAACCTGTATTCATTAGCTGTCATCCTTCATTTAGTGCCAACTTTCCCAGTTCAATGCAGCTACTCACCTCCTCTTCCTTCCTCTCTCTTGTTGCCTGTTTGGGACATTTTGTATAAATTCAGTCATATAATTTCTGGTCTCTCCCATCTGGTTGCTTTTGAAAACAATGTTTTCAAAGTTCACCCCTGATGTAGTGTCAATCCCAACTTTGTTCTTTTTTAATCCCCAAATTAATATTCCACTATGAATAGACATGAATGCATTCTTTGCTTGAGGATCATTGGCTTTCTTTTTTTTTTAAGATTCATTTATTTTATTGCAAAGTCAGATATACACAGAGGAGGAGAGACAGAGACAAAGATTTTCTGTCTGATGATTCACTCCCCAAGTGACGACAATGGCCAGTGCTGCGGCAATCCAAAACCAAGAGCCAGGTCTCCCACGCAGGGTACAGGGTCCCAAGGCTTTGGGCGGTCCTCAACTGCTTTCCCAGGCCACAGGCAGGGAGCTGGATGGGAAGTGGAACTGCCGGGATTAGAGCTGGCACCGATATGGGATCCTGAGGTGCATTCAAGGTGAGGGTTTTAACCGCTAAGCCACCGTACCAGGTCCTGAATTATTTCTATTTTCTGGATAATCCTGCTGTGAACAGTTGTAGGCACGTCTTTGTGTGAATGTGTGCCCACTGCTTGGGATTCCGTTGTGCTGCCATGGCCAGCGTTCTGCTGGTGTGCTGTAACACTGG